TTGTAGCAACCCAAACTGACTAAGACTTAGAGATACCACTCTCTGTGGTAGTGCATTTCCTGGTATGAGCACAAAAACTAGAGTAGAAAATCAATAGTGTAAATTCTATCACTAGTCTATCAATAGTGTAAATTCTGGGGTCAGTTTTGAAGAATTAGTGGAAATCTACCAGGAAGTCAAGAGGGAAGAACATTCCAAGGGATGTCAAAGGCTTGGAGATGAGATGCATTTCCATGTGTTCAAAGAAAGGAGAGATGCATGTCTGGAGTACAGGGTACGTAAACAGGCCTGGGAGCATGATTATTGATTATTGATACTCTATTAGCACTTGTATTAATGGGTCATACACAATGTCCTGGTCTCCTTCTCTTTGATTTTTGGATGTTTTCAGTTTATGGAAAGTAAACCAGTTCATATTTTCACATTTTATAGTAAACTTTCATTCTCCTGAGAAGGAACTCATAGGAAATCTTGTTGGGCACTGATTCTCACTTTCCTACATCTTCAGTCGCCCATTAGATGAGGCCCACTGGGAAGTCACAGCTCGTCAATTAGCACAGCCAGGGGAAAGCAGAAGTGGAATCCTGCTGTCTGTCATGCAGGATGTTGCCCACTGTGCCTGAATTCCTGGGTGAAAACAGCACGTCTCTTCCAGAGCATCCCTGAAGGCCAGGAGGTAACAAGGTGAGGACCCAGCTCTGTAGGAGGAGAGTGGGACAGGAGGAAAAGCCCCACTCTGGCTTCAGCACATATCAGCCTTGAGACCTTGGTCCTGACACTAGTGACTGAAACCTCAGGTTAATCTGTAAAGACAAGGACAGTAATATCCTCCCCTCAGGACCACTTGAAGGATTAAGATGAGACTTGACATTGATCCCACACCAGTTATTAACCCTAAATAACAGTGGCTTAAAGGAACCAGGGGTTGCATTTTTCCCCCTCTTTATGAGTTTCCCTGCTTTGGTTCTTGCCCCTGTAATCCATTCACAGCAGCTGAAAGAGTATTCAAAATTGAGTCCGATCATATTGAAACCCTCTCACATGGAGTAAAAGCCACCATCCTCTCTCAGCCCAGAAGGCCTGACACATTTTTCCCTTCCCTTCCTGAGCTCCTTTCCCACTGCCTCTCTTTTTCTCCCTGGCATCTTTGCTGGCCCTTGTGTGCTGACAGTCCCCTCCACCAGCTGCCCTCTTCCTCCAGAGTTTTGAAACTGTGTTGACAGCTTGCTTTCCTCTTCTTCAGATCTTTGCTCAAATGTCATGTTCTCAGTCCCTAACCATCCTGTTTAGCCCTATAACTACCCCACAAGGCCCCTATTAATATTAGCCTCTTCTTACAGATGAGGAATCTGAGGCTTTCAGAGCTTAAATAACCTGTCTAAGTCACATAGCCATTAAGTGTCTGCATCAGTTGGGATACCACCAGTGGAAAGGAACAAAGAGCCCAACTTAAACAGTCCTAAATAGTAAAGGGTATTTTTTAGCTGAAGTTCAGTGGAATGAGGCTTCAGGCAGGGTTTGATCAGGCTCTGGCACCATTTCTCTGCTATACTTGAAGCTTTACCTTCTCCATGGACAGCCTACATCTTTATACTGTTTTTCCTTGTGGTCACAAATAGCTTCTGCAGTTCTAGGGAATCATATCCACGCATGACACTGTCCAAAGACAAAGGATATCATTCTGGGTAGCTCCTGAAAATTGGAAAATTACAAGAGAAATAACACTTAAAATTAACACATTATTTGCATTTTTAAAACTTCCTTATAGCAAAAGGCACTATAAACAAAGTCAAAACACAAACAATAGGCTAGGAGAAAATATTTGCAACACACATAGCAGAGAAAAGGGCAAATGTATCTTGAAGACAAGGAGCTCCCAGTGAAAACTGACCAAGGTTCCGAGAGGCTGATCACATGGGAAACGGACAGCCTCCTCTGCAGTGAGATAACATTTCTCACCATATAATTTGCAAAACATGAAATCACTGATAACAATGAGTGCTGGCAAAGTGCAGAGAAATACACATCCCCTTATTCTGTTTATAGTGCCATCAATTATGGCTTTTTAGAACATAATATGCATACCCCTGAACTCAGCAATCCCACTTCTGGGGATTTATTCAGTCAAAATAAAAGTACTAATGTATAAAGATGTATTCAGGAATTCTTGTCACGTATTCTATAGTAACAAGACAAACAATTAAGCAAGCAAAGTTGGAAACAACATGAATACCCATAGTAGGGAATTGCTGGATAAATGATACATTGTATGATACAAACATACTATGGAATACTGTGTAACTATAGGTCCATGGCTTTTTATCTGAAACCCTTGGGGCAGATATGTTTTCATAATTCAGAATTTTTTTCAGAAGTAGAAATTCACTTATGCTAGATAATATATATGATAATAATATAAAATAACATGCTTAACATAATATGTAATAATATCTTAAATAATATATTTTTATACTATGTAATACTCCATACAGGTTTGTGGGAACACCTTGTAATCAAATACGTTAATACTTGATTTTATTGGATATTTATCCAACAAATAAATTTATATGGATAAATTTATTGGAATAATTTATTCCATTCATCCAAAATGGAATAAATGAAACTGAAAAAGAATGTTTCAGGTCAAATCTTATCACCAAAATAATTGTGGAAAAAACTGGACTTAGAATGGAGGATAAAGGATTGTGGATGTCATAGGTAGACCTATGTATACTAGCTTGGGGGACATTGGGGGGCATTGTGGGTGTACATTCTTAGGCACACTCCATGATACATGGCTAAATTCAAAAGTAACTTTTAGAGTGACCCATGAAGTATGATCTCATTATTGCAAGAACAAACCAAAGCCCCCATATATATGGATATGCATTTGCATAAGCCAAGAGAAATCATGGAGGAGCCAGATGAATTGTGTGATTGATTACATGGGGGTGGGAGAGACATTGAGGGGCTTAAAGGGGTAACCCAAAAACATGTCTGTATTCTTTCACTTATTTTAATGAGCTGGCATCACTTTCATAATGAAAATACCAAACTTTTGAAAGAGGGGAAAGGTGCAAGAAAACCAAACGAAAGCCATATTTGAGAGCTTCATAGTCCTCTTGCAATGCTGACATGTGCCACCGTGTGTGGAACTATGTGGGTGTAGGGCACAGCAATGACCACAGCATACACTCACCTTCACATGCCTCAAAGCGCAAAACAGTAATGAGTTTTCTTTCTTGTTGGTATCAGAAATAAGGGAATAGGAGGGTGCATGGGATAGACTGGTCCTCGCTGGAGAAGAGGGGTTTTGAGTCACTCCTTGGCAGGATAATAATGCTAAGAGCAAACACTTGTGAGAAGCTTCCCTACTTTCTGCATGTCAGCCTCACTCTAACCGTTTCATGCGTATAAACTCCCTGATTTCTGCGACGGCCTTCTGAGATAGGTATTTTATTATCATTATCCCCATTTTATAGGTGAGGAAACTCAAGCCCAGGGAGATTAAGTTATTTGCCCGAGGTTATACAGCTACTCCCAACAAAGCTGAGGCCCAAACCAAGGCAGTCTGGCTCAGAGTGTGTGCACCCAACTACTACTACACACTGTCACTTTTCAGACAGGACCATGGATGGCTGAATGGAGACATACCCATTGCAGCCACAGGGAGGGGCCTGAGGAAGCCCCAGAGTCTAAAGCAGCCAGGGTATGTTCTAGAAATGTTACCTATGTAGGAATACTGTGCCTCCCAGCAAAGACCTGGCTGGATGCCTTAAGCTTCATTCACAAGTACCTGAGAGGATTATGGATCCTCACTGAATCCTCACTGATGCACCTTGCTGCTGCATCTCACCTAGGATCACTGGACAGATAGCTGGCTGAGCAGCTTGCTCACACGTCAGTGCTGGCAGTTCAGTCTAAGATTAGAAGGTTGTATGTTACACTGCTGGTGCTTTTTTTGTCCACTGTAGCTGATCACATTGGGCATACCCCTCCCGTGTGTAGTCCCATGGGCTTCTCAGCATGCCTCAACGCACCTGCTCCAAAATGTGTTTTCCCATCTCTTGGTGATGCCTTCCAAGTCCCTCAGAGTCAATTTTGCATGTGCCACCCATCTATGCATTTCAGTCCCACATCCCAAATACCACTGTCAGGTTTGGTGAAAATCCAACCAGCCATTTCCACATGATATGATGACAGACAAATAGAGAGAAATGTAATTGCAGTTATAATTATTATCCAAGGCTCTCTGAGCTGGAGTCGTATGTGTACCAAATTCCCCAAAAAGCAAGTACTGACCAAAATTTCCCAGAAAACAAGTACTGACCATTTGGGTGTTTCCTTCCTCCCTGTCCCCTTCCTTCCTTCTCTTCTGTTTCCCTCCTTTACCTGCACATCACTGAGTTTCCTTCCCTCCTTCTCTTTCCCTCTGCCTTCCTTGTCATGTTTCTTGAACACCTATTTTGTAGGTACACCCAGCCTATCCATGCCCATCTGCTGCCATCACTTCAGCCTGGATGAAAGGTGGTCTCAACTCCCCACCCTTCTCCCTACTAAATTCATCAACTACAGTACTAAGGTCTCCAGTAACCATAGCGGACAAACAGCAGAACAAGCACTGTCCTCTGGGTGGGAGAATCCTTCACCCACCCCTGCCCACCTACAGTTTTCCTGAGAGATGGTATCTAGAGTGACCTGTCTCATTTCTTTCCACGAGGTTTAATTCTCCACATCAGTGTCTCCAAACTTTTAATCCATAAAAAAATGTATCCTGCCCCTCAATATATTTAGGTAAAAATAATATGCATGTTACCAAATGAATTTACATTCTGAAACATGCACACAAAATAAACATTTGTAAAGTATCAGATAAGATAGTATTATAAATAGAAGTTATAATGTTTTCTTCCCGGTATCCCACCTTGCAAACCACAGCTTTAAATAACCCAGCTGCCTGCAGCCCATGCTAACTGGAGTTTCTGTTTCTGTATTTGCAGGACATGTTCACATTACAGACTTCAACATAGCGACGGTAGTGAAAGGAGCAGAAAGGGCTTCCTCCATGGCTGGCACCAAGCCCTACATGGGTGAGTGTTCCAGGCCCCTTCTTTGCATGTGATCAGGCTCAATGCCTAAGACTCAGCATCCTTCTCTTGTTTCATCTGCCACTGCCCGCTGCCACACACCCTCCTTCCATGCTCCCATGAGGATCCACAGTTCCCAGTAGATACAATGCTCTCTCGAAGCTGTGGACCTTTTCCAAGCTGTCTCCTCTGCTAGACAACCCCTCCCCTCTTGGTTTGTCTAGAGAACTCCTGCTCAGCCAGAGAGCCATGGCTCAGGCTTGAGAGGGTGACAAACAAAACAAGTATTTTCTTTTCCATTTACGTTCAGTGTTTTCCAGAATTTAACTTGGTGGTGGCCATTCTGGGTCTGTATTCTTCGGCACATGGTGCTCTTTCAATGTGCAGTTTTAAATGATTTTTTAAAATTATTTTTTATTATTATACTTTAAGTTCTAGGGTACATGTGCATAACATGCAGGTTTGTTACATATGTATACTTGTGCCATGTTGCTGTGCTGCACCCATCAACTTGTCAGCACTCATCAACTCGTCATTTACATCAAGTATAACTCCCAATGCAATCCCTCCCCCCTCCCCCATCCCCATGATAGGCCCCGGTGTGTGATGTTCCCCTTCCCGAGTCCAAGTGATCTCATTGTTCAGTTCCCACCTATGAGTGAGAACATGTGGTGTTTGGTTTTCTGTTCTTGTGATAGTTTGCTAAGAATGATGGTTTCCAGCTGCATCCATGTCCCTACAAAGGACACAAACTCATCCTTTTTCATGGCTGCATAGTATTCCATGGTGTATATATGCCACATTTTCTTAATCCAGTCTGTCACTGATGGACATTTGGATTGATTCCAAGTCTTTGCTATTGTGAATAGTGCCGCAGTAAACATACGTGTGCATGTGTCTTTATAGCAGCATGATTTATAATCCTTTGGGTATATACCCAGTAATGGGATGGCTGGGTCATATGGTACATCTAGTTCTAGATCCTTGAGGAATCGCCATACTGTTTTCCATAATGGTTGAACTAGTTTACAATCCCATGAACAGTGTAAAAGTGTTCCTATGTTGTTTCCTGACTTTTTAATGATCGCCATTCTAACTGGTGTGAGATGGTATCTCATTGTGGTTTTGATTTGCATTTCTCTGATGGCCAGTGATGATGAGCATTTTTTCACGTGTCTGTTGGCTGTATGAATGTCTTCTTTTGAGAAATGTCTGTTCATATCCTTTGCCCACTTTTTGATGGGGTTGTTTGTTTTTTTCTTGTAAATTTGTTTGAGTTCTTTGTAGGTTCTGGATATTAGCCCTTTGTCAGATGAGTAGATTGCAAAAATTTTCTCCCATTCTGTAGCAACGGCAGCAAAAGCCAAAATTGACAAATGGGATCTAATTAAACTAAAGAGCTTCTGCACAGCAAAAGAAACTACCATCAGAGTGAACAGGCAACCTACAGAATGGGAGAAAATGATTTTTTTAAAGAAATTTTTATGGAATTATCATTTTTAGTATGCATTCTGTTCTCTTGCTTTTATTTTCTTGGTTATGGATGCCTCTTATCTGAATGCTGGATCTTCTTTGCCAATCTTCAACATTTCTCACTGTCCCTCAAATCTTTATTACTTCTTCCTTCATTTCTTTAAAAATGTTCTCATTGTTATAGTTCTCTGTCTCCCAAGGCATTATCTATTGTGTTTATTTGTTTCGTGCATTTTCTAGTAAAGTCTTCATTTCTGAAATCATTTTCCCTTGATTTCTTTCTCCCTAAGTTCTCTCACCTGATTTCTGAGTTTTTTATTCTAATTTATGTTGTTTTTCATGTCTTATATAATTTTGTTAATGCCTTTATTATGTGTTAATTCTGAATATCTGTATTGTTATCAATTACTGTGTAACAAACTGTGTCAAAACATAGTGGTTTAGGACAATCACAATGTTATTTCTCGCAATTCTTTTGGTTGACCAAGTGTTTTCTCTTCAGGTTTGACTGGGTTCACTCATGAAAATGCATTCAGCTGGTAGGTCAGCCGGAAGCTGGGTTCAGCTAGGGAAGCTGAGATGAACATATCACTCTTTCTTTATGTGGTCTTTCATCATCAAAGTGGCTAGAGTGAACTTCCTCACATGCAGTTTCAAGATGGTAGAACCAGTTCCCCCATGCTTATCAGGACTCTGCCTGCTTCACATTTCCTGATGTTCGGTTGGTCAAGGCAAGACCCATAGCCAACCACGTGGAAGGGAACTGCATGAAGCATGGGTATCAGAAGGCTGATGCATGGGGGGAACTGTGAATGAAACAACCCATCACTGTGTCTTTTAACTCTTTTGAAACGTAGTCTATAGGTTCATTCTGTTTTATCAGCACATCTTTCTGTGTGTTTGTATTGCAGTGGTGTTATTCTGCTCCTCAGTCTCCTTTTACTTGTCATAACTTGGTATGGAATTTGACTTTGATACTTTTCTATTGCTCTTTTGTTTCAGTAATTGTTGATGATTACTAATATATCTTATGCATGAGTTTTATGCCTAGATAATCCACATTTACCATTACAAATAATATAAGAAATATATGTTTAAGGCTAGAAAATGTAATCAGTGCTGCACAAAGACTCACACACATTTACAGCCCAAATTTCTCCATATCTTTCTTCCAAAGGTTACTGCTTTTAATGTTTTCCTTTTATTTTCCTTTTTCAAATGGAAGAAGGAGGCCTTAGGAAGCATAGAATCTGATAACTGGATGAAGCATTTATAGGTGATACCAAACCAGAGGTGCAACTTTTGCTGCAGAAAACTAACCACTGGGATGAGGAGTCCACCATCTTGGCTGAACTCTGTGCTGCTGTCTGTCATTCAGCAGTGAAAATGCCCTGTTTGGCCTCACTTACCTCTGGCCAGATTGTGCCTTATAGGGCACCGTATATTGAATTAAACAACCAAAATCTTTCCTCCCCAACCTCATAAACAGCGCCTAAAACCGCCTGGAGGAGTTAAGAGTTGCACATGGGTATTGGAGTGGAGGAGGAGGTTTAGTTTGGACGTGGTGGAGGGTTTGAATTCCACATGGCCTGAGGAAGAAGAGACCTCCCTGAGCCCTTGGCAAAACCTAAATTCCAATCTATCTTCATGAACACTAGGGTTTTGGGGATCCACTATATCCTTGTTATTATCTTCCTTACAGATTTAAAAAGATATGACTATTTCCCTGGAAGGATAAATTGCACCTTTGGACTTGAGATCAAAATAGAGCCAGCTGAGGGGCCTCCAGCAAGAGAGAGGGGTAGAAATTGCTCATTTTATGTGAACTTTGTTTTTCTAAACTTTTTGAAGATGGTGTGGTTCAGGATCGCATTCCTAACTTAACAGACCTATCTCTTGTGTTGTTTTGTGAAGTGTCAACATCTAAGGCAGCTTGCTATCCAGGTTTCCTGGCTTTGTTCTCCTCTCCCATTTTTATCTGGAGTTCCTCTTTCCTTTGTCTGTAGGGTCCTTGTCCTGATGCATTTTGGTTCCACGTCATACAGTTTTTCCTTGGGGCTTTTTCCTGGAAGGATTTGTGACTGGTTGGATTATAGACTTTTGATGTCCCGATTCTTCCACCTCCTTCAGAATTTATCGAGAGCCCTTTCAATGCCCCTGATACTAGACTGTGCAAACTCCTACCAGCTTCAGCTGCTGTGCTCAGAGTGGTCAGCTGTGTTTCCCAGTGAATACCTGCTGAATACCTTGGAGTTCTTTGTTTTCTGGTCCATAGAATGCTGCTTTGCTGCTTCTCTTGGTTTCTGTGTAGAAATCACTACCATGCACTTCTTGTCACTGTGGGTGTTTTGCTCCTACCCACCTGTATTTTGAGGGTTGTGGAGACAACTTATTTTTGTAGCAAATGCATGCATGGGTTTTTGGTTTAGCAATCTATTTGCTCTGTTTTATATGCAGATTTGGGGAGATTCAAAATCTATACCATCATCTCTCTAGAATCCACTACTCATGTCGTTAATCTTTCATTTATTAAATAAATTGAATAAATAAAGTTTGGCTACAAATAAATTGAATAAATAAAGTTTGGCTACAAATACCCTCAATGATATAAACAATAGGCAACTTGCTTTTAAGTATTGACTACATGTCAGGCACTGAGCTAAGTGCTTTCCACCTATAATTTAGTTTAATGTGAAGATAGGCCCATTAACTATAACCTATAACCTCTTCTAATGCCCTCAAACATGGGATAGACACAAGTATTTCTTTCCATTTTAGAGTTAAGGAAATGGAGGGTTAGGAGGTTGGGTGACTGACTTCCCCATGTTGACATTGTTGGCAAGAGTCAGACCCAGGTAAATGTGACTCCAAAACCTAAGCTCTGAAGTACATCTCAACCTGGCCTCCCATGACAGCAACTCCTTTTTAGCAAAAATACCAGCAGATATCCATATAAGTGAATTGATTCACTTACAAGTAGTCTTCATGGGAGCCTGAACACTTACTCCAACAAGGCTTTTTTTGTTGACGACTTTTCTGAGATCCCTTTCTGGAAGGATCTGGAGCTGGGGCAAATCTGACCGAAGAAGTCACTGCATTGAGAGTCAAGAGAGATCAAATGGGCGGGATTCAGCAACTGATGGGATGGAGAATGGGGGCAAAGGCGACTTCCCAGGTCTCTGGATTTTGCAGCAGAGTGGTGCTCACTCTGTAGGGGACACAGCAAGACCAGTAGGTTTGTGGAGTGGCATGATGCAGACTGGACATGTGGATGGAGAACCTGCCGGCACTGAGATGCGGCACAGCCAAGGAAGTGGGCGGGATACCCCAAGAAAGATGCAGGAAGGCAGAGAACCAGATTCCAAGGCTCAAGAATGCCGTGCTGGAAGGGGCACGTGGAGGCTGAGGGGGACATCCCACAGGGGAGTGCCAAGAAGAGAGACACGAGGTAAGGGCAGCAGCTCCCATTAGAAGCCTCCTCGTATTCCTACAGATTCGTTCTGACTGCTTTCACGCTGTTTCCAAAAAGC